AGCCAGGAGCGGAGCACTGAGACTTTCCAGACGAGTCGTCTCCTCATCCTCAGTTCGAGCCTGTGAATATGAAGCTGCACCGAGGAGCACGGGGAAGCTGCTGAGTGTTTCCTCTCCTGCACGAGATGAGGACGTCTGACATTTCAGGTGCTTTTAGACAGCGGGCAGTTGCTGCCATGACGGTGACATTTAGCGCTTTTTAGTGAAATATTTAAAATAGTTTTGAATATGTACACTCAGTGTCCAGTTTATTAGGCACACCTCGCTAAAACAAAGTCTGTCCTGTGGTAAATCCTCCTTCAGGAAGGTTATAATGTTCAGTTTGTGTTTTGTATGATCAGCGTAGAGGATGTAGAGTTTGTGCTGCTGCTGAACTGGATTGAGTTCCACTGACACCCCATTTAAAAACACTTCTGTAGATGTGTGGAGTCGTTTTCTACGGTGCTGAGTGATCCTAAACTCGTCTGCCTGATTGAAGCATTTTATGGTTTTTGCAAAATCTCCTCCTGTTTCTCAGCGTTTTGCTGTAACCAGGCTCAGATTGGCCCACAAAAATAAAACCCAGCGCAGCAACAAGAACCAGGCTGTGATCCCTCCTCTGTCTCACCTCTGCAACAAGTGTAACGTACAGACGCTGCTGCAGTGCTGTGTCGCTCTGTTGTTTTGAACATTTTCCAATGCAGATATTGAGCCTCTCGCTGCCAAAACTGCCTCCTTCTTCCCAAGAAAATGGAACATAAACTCTCTCCAGCTCCAGCGGGGCTTTTCTGGCCCATTTTTCCTGCATATCAGTAGTTGTTGTTTAAAGACGGCACAGTATACTGAAGAATTAGTATTGTCAAGACTGGCCGCCGCTGGCAAACAGTCAAGGTGCATCATGCAGCTGAAAAATAGTTGTTAAAGGCAGAAACAGCCTGCGGATCGCCAGAAACCTGAGGATTCCTCCTCCAGCTGTGCAAAGGATTTAAATTTTAATATCTGGGTTCTAAAGATAGGATGTTTTTATATATTGTTCTACCTCCTCATTGCTCTCTCTCCTCTGCAGCATCCTTCCTGTCTCTCCCTGGCCTCCCCCCTCCTCCCAGTGTGTTGCCCAGTACAGGGACAGTCTCTGTGAATCAATGACTCTGAGGACAGGCAGGCAGAGGCAGAGGAGGTGGACGGGAATCTCAACTAAAGGCCAAGGACGGCCTGCAGGAGATAAGAGAGAGGGAGCAGCAGAAAGGTGGAGGAGGAGTGTGAGGGCCTGAACAGAACATAGAGTTTTATAATGCTGCGTTACAAAAGCAGATATTTTGGCTGGATGTTTAGCATAAATACTTTTTTATTTCCAATTTCTCTTGTTTCTCAGTAAACGCTTCTTCAACCAACTCTTCCAGCAGCAGCAGAGTTCTGTCAGGCGTTCACTTTGACTTTTCCCCTAAAATACCACGAATTAAACTCAACCCTTCGTTCACAAAGATGGTGAACATTCCACCTGCTGAACGTCAGCCTGTTAGCATGCTAATGTTAGCAGCCCAGGAGAAGCACAGCTGCAGCTTCAGGCAGGAAGGAGCTTCTTTATTTTTCAGGCTTTTGACTGTTTTCACAAGCGAGAGAGATGAATGTCACTTTAAAAGTTTCTGTCTGTAAACGTTACAGAGAGTAATTCCTGTTGTGATCAACCACTCACTGAATCCCAGTCTCCACAATCACAGACTCTGAAGTGGGTTCCTAGTCAGTCTACGAGGGTCCTGCTGTCAAATCGTCAGGTGCATCAGGTCTCTGTTGCAGACTTTCTGAACCCTTTATGCACACTTTCTGTATGTCTGCCTCTCTGCAGACTTTGCCTGAGGGAATCACCCACAGTTCACAGTGTTTAATGCTGTTTCGATAAACATTATTAATTTGATTAGGCTACCTGAAAGTGACCTCTCGTCCACGGGTCATTTTCAAATAATCAGTTTACTCGTCAGGAGCCTGGAATACTTTCATATCAGACAGTCGGCCCCTTCAGTGCCTCGGCTGTTAAGAATATAAAAAGTGTAAAATTAAAAGTCCTCAATTGTTTTGGTGTAGTGAAGGTAGCGTAACGTGATATGTTGCAAAGTGCGGTGCTGTCCCGCATTTTCTCATCAATCCCACCAATACTGATTTGTGTCTTAATACGTGGATCTGTGGATCCAAATGTAGCTAAAATATAAAGTATAGAACAGAAATGCAGTTTTCTGTTTTGCTGATCCTCCAGCTGCTGGAAGATGAGGAGGCTTTTCCTTGTGAACGTTTTTTACGTTTGATGTTTTTAAGCTGCTTTGTTCCTTTTTTTTAACTTTACAGGCAAATGAACACATCCTGCGTTTTGGAGACTAGTGGAGGGTATGTTTTATCCTAAATACAACGTTACCTTTACATTGTTACCGCCTGTATGAAAGTATTAAATGTCTCTGAGCAGTTTCTATAGGTAGTCGCACAGAACTCATCTTTGCACGAAGCATGTTCCATCGTGGACACAACGTCGCGGTGCACCTGGTCAATAGATAAGTCGCTGCTGGAGGGTTTTATCAAAGAAGTTGCATTGCTTATTTACGTGTAGAAAACATCTTGTTAATTGTGTCTATTGAAACTCATGCCAGCAGAGGCCGGAAGAAAACACGCTGCTAGAAGGCCTGAGTTTTTGAATGGAGTTTGGTTGGCTGTGTCGTGAAAGGTGTGAGACCTCAGAAGGACAAGACACAAAGAAATGAAATATCAAAACCCGAAACAAACACCTTTACTCTCCGAGTCCAGTTTTTAAATCTCTACATTGAATTTTCCAAATAAATATCAGCCAATCAGGAATTTCACTGAGTAGATACGAGCTACCATCAGTCAAACAATCTGACTTCATTTGTAAAACACTTTCACACAACAAAACACAAACACACACACACACAAAGCGATACATGACTTTGTAATTAATAAATCACCCAAAATAAAAATAAGAACAGAGGAAATGCTGTTAAAATTCATCAATTTGTAATGAGACAGGATTAAAAATAAAGAGAAAATCTTCTGTAACTACGGAAGAGACCATCTGCTTCATGTTTACACCCGCACGCACATGCCCTGAACGTGTACCTGAACGGCCGATAGACGTGCGTTTGCAGTTGTTTTAATGTAGACGGAGATGGACTCCAAAACGCAGGTGTGGACGGAGATCGTATTCGTTTTAATTAGTAGTGTGGATGGGGCCTCAGCCTCCTCTGCTGCCCTCAAGTCTTCAGGACGAGAGGACCGTAGTAATAAATGGACGCCTCACAGGTGTTGATAAGTAAACGGCCAGTACCAGAAGACCTGAGGCTTCAGAGGCTGGCTAATGTGATAAATAGATGGGACCAGGCCCATTAGGAGCCCTGTAGACCAATAAAAGGATAACAACATCGATCCTGAAGAGAACAGGTAGCTGGTGCAGAAACTCTGTGTCATGTGGGCTTCTGCTGGTCCTAGAGACCACATGTGCAGCTGAGTTTGGAAGAAACTGAGACACATTCTCTCACATTCTGCTCTGAAATCTACAGCAGAACCCAAAGTTTGTTTCTGTGTCGTTCATTAATAAAACTGCCTTCTGAAACAACCCGTTACTGACTGAGATAACATGTTCTGGTGTTTGTTTTGATATTGCCGTTATAAATTGGCCGCCCTGCTCTCTAAATAAAGACATCGACCATCACAAATCTTGTATCAGTCGACCACTATTGTCAATAAACACAGCACCGTGCTCCCAGCAATCACTTCAGAGCCGCGTGGCTCAGAAGCCTGGAGTTATAAACGTGAAACACTGTTCACTGTGGTGAAAATACAGGCTTCACAGTCCAAACACAAGAGAGTCTCCCTGTTCTGATGTATTTTTACACTTAAAGCACAAATCCACAACACACACCTACACATGTTGTGTACTTTCCTGTGTTTCTGCCGGTTGGTCATTCAGCTCATGAAGCCAGTTTAGGGATAAAAGCAACAGCTACATCAAACGTGTGTCAACAATGTGAGCAGATCAGCTGATCATGTTCTACACACAGATTGAAACTGACGCATTATAACACCTGAAAATGCACACAGCACTTGTAAAATGGTGAATCATTTCTGGCTTTTATTAGCAATTCAGTTCAAATAGAAAAATAAATCCAGCTCAGCAGGAATCAAAACAACAGATTACAAGTCAAGTGGAGGCTTAGCGCTCACAGTTAGGAGTCATTCAGCTCTGAGCGGGTTCACGTATTCACAGGCCGCACACATCATGTGTGTGAGTGTGAGGGGGGGGTGTTCACTCTTGACCCCGTCCATCTTGTGAAAAACACAATCAGAGGAGTGGTTTTCACTGTTAACTTAAGTTAAACATGTTGTTATTGTATCGCGTGTCTACCTGTTAATTATTCACGTGACACAGGAACAGTTTCTACCCACAAGCCATCACTCTGCGGGACAGTTAACAATCTCTGTGCAATAACCTGATGACTCTGACTCCACCTGTATATTTACTACTTGATATTTTTTTTGTTATTGTAGCAACTGAGTAGCTGTTAAATTTTTTAGTAAACTCTAAATATCATGTCCACCTACCTCATGTAGCTAAATAATAATCTCTGCTTCACTACATTTTTGTCTCGCTGTCTACAGATGTTGTTTATTTTGTGTTTATGGTCGTGGGACTTTTCATGACCCCTGATTCTTTTACTGTTTCACAACACAGATTTCGCTTCTGATGCAGCTGAAATGCCAGTACTAACCGCACATAGCACACCACAACCACACTCCTCTTCCTCTCTCACCACAGGTAGACGGCGTCTCCAGAATGCTGCGGTCCATCCAGCCGAGTGGGAAGGAGGTGGACTTTCTCCTGAGGAGTGCAGAAACCCAAGGCTTCCTGAACCGACTGAAGGAAGCTCAGATGGGTCCTCGGCTATGAGACGTGTCAGAATTTGACAGCAGCTGGCCCGGACTTGCACAGGAAGTGTCAGGAGTACATTGAGCAAAGCCACGTACAAAAGAAGGTTAGTTGTTAATCTCCTGCTGTGCGATGGCTTTAATGGCTGTTTGGTTTTTCACTTATCTGGGTTCAACCGCATCAGTAATGTCCATCTGGCTCTCCACGAGTGTCGCAGAGTCTCCCCCGAGTCAGACAGGGACACGCTGGGCATCTACAGGAAGCTGCTGGAGCACCAGCATGTGGGCTAATACTGCGAAGCCATCCTGATCCTGTAACACCTCCAGAAAGCAGGAGCAGAAGTACTTTCCCCCACAGTGTTTCCTCAGTTGGTAGAATATATCGCATGTCCAGATTCAAATAAAGCAGGGTTACTTTGTTCTGTTGTCATTAACTCCCACTGTGTCCTTGATTGTTTTCCAGACAGCGTAAAACAGCCTCAATGCAGATAGCGATGTTTGCCCTCAGCGGTGAGGAGGTAAGTTCTCCAACAGGCTGAAAAATGAATAACTGGAACAGCAGAATCATAGAGCCCTGTTAATGTGTTGTACAGAGAAAGAAGAAAAATAATTCAGGTTTGAGAGTGAGATTGTTATCTGGGAGTTTTTCTTCTTTGCAGCTACAAATTGCCAAACATCACCAGCCAAGAGGTCAGACAGGTTGCTGAGACTGATTTTACACTCCACTGCCTACTTTACATCGCTGCTGAGGACGCCCAGTATCGTGGCCACCGCCAACCTGCCGAACAGTTTAGCTACTCTCTCTCTCTCACAGCTGCTTCCAGTCCAGCTGGTTTTTGTTTGTTTCCCGTCTTGCAGCTCTCCTGTTGAGCCAAGGGAAGAGAAGAGTGGTCGGGGACAGAAGAGAAGCAGAGACGCCGCTGAGCAGGACGACAGGGACGTCGCTGCGTTTCTTCAACACTATCCCGGGAACAGCGAACGGCCAAGCGCCCACAAAGAAGCAACAGACCGCCGCTGGGTTCGCAGCTGATTAACAACATTTCTTTAAACAAAAGCAACGTAGAATTCACAAATAGTGGACCAGAATTTAATCTGAATGTTCTCTCTTTGACAGCTCAGAGTTCAAGACACACCCCCAACTGTCCAGAAGGTCAAAGAGGTCCAAAGGACATCGTTGCAAAGAGGAAACCAGCCAAGGGGTCCGTGTCTCAGAAGGGAAGTGGACAGGCCGGGCCATCAAGGATTTCGGTAGCAGCGAAGGGCAAAGTATGTAAAACTGCCTGTGAGCAGGAGAACATTAATCCAGCAGCCAAACATCGAGTTAATTATAATCCTAAAACGAAGAAGCACGTTGATGCCACCTTCTTCTGACCACAGGGGTTGTTGCCACCAAAGACTTTCCCAAAGGCTCCATCATTTGTGATTATCACAGCAGCACAGGGCAGGGGGATGATGGAGGCCGTGTAGGATGAGCTTTGCGACCTTTTCTTTTTTGCTTTCTCAGTCGGCAGCTGACAACGACAGTCTGCCTCCATGTTTTTGTCACATTTGTTCACACGAGATTCTGGAAGATCCCGAGTCCCCAGAAAGTGTGTGGTCCTGCGTCTGGACTGAACCGTTCTTAAGATTTAAATTTAAAATAAAATAGATAGATAGATCTGTTCAATCGGTTCAGACCGGTTGCCTATCTGGTGGTAAACACCAGATATTAAAAGTAATGGAAGTCTTTTCAAAAGAAAAGAAAATATTTAATCTGAAATTATTCCTAAACAGAATAAAACCAACTGACTCACTCCCAAGACGTCACATATGGACGCTTGGTCAAGAGCCATAATCGTCAGTTTGTGACGCACTAGGGATCCCTTTGACGTCATAGTTCGACGTATTGAGGGAAGCCCTGTTGTGTCAGTTTTTGATGGTAAAGGCAAGTATGATATTTAAGAGAAAAGACGAAGTAAGGAGGTGATTGGGGTGGATAGAGGGCCAGAACCTGGACCTTGAAGCAGGAGAACAGGGTTTGTGTCCCGTGCGAAACAAAACATTAAATGTTTTTATTTAGGCGAGTGAGGTAAATTGACATTAACGTTAGTTAACTTAAGTCTTAATTGACATACATAGCTATTTTAACCCAAACCATGATCTTTTCCTAACCTTAACCAAGTAGTTTTGTTGCCTAAACCCAACCAAGTACTTTCTGTGCCTAAACCTAACGAAACTGCAACGTTTCACGACTTTAATTATGCGCGTTTCAACATGGCAATGTATCGAAACGTTACGTTTTATCTTGAAAGTGTAACCGGATATTGCATATTTATTGTTGTTAAGCGTTGCTAACTTGACTGTGGATCCCTAAACATCAATAATTGATGCAAAAGGGCTACCCAAGTCTTTAAAAAGCGACGACAAAGGGCCTTGACCATGCGTCAGACATTTGACGAGTAGGGAGTGAGACTGTGTTGCTGGAACATGTCCAGCGAGCGACACAGAAACTGTGCCCAGGTGGCGTCATTTGCTGTTAGTAGTTCACCTTAACTAATCAGCAGTGGGATAAACAGTTTTCACTTGTATGTAGACACTTTCTCATGGAAATAAACAGAACATATAGAAACACAATATTTATGTTTTGGGATTTGGGGGGAAATCAAATCTCATCAAGTGAGAAAGTAAGTGGGTGGAGGAAGGATGGAGATCCAAAGAGAAGCAGAATACACAGAGGAGAGAGAGAGAGAGGGAGAGGGAGAGAGACCTACAGTCCTCTGTTGGACTGAGACAAAATCACTTTCATGCTCCAGATGGATGTTTGGGTCGATGGGTTCTGCAGAGCCTCACAGCGGTTCCTGAACAAGAAGCCTCCATAATAGGCACCAAAGGGAGAAGCACCAGCCATCACACCAACACACCAATCACCCAGCACCACAGACGGATAGTTATCAGGTCCTCCTCCTATTGATTTCTCTTACAGAGGTATTTACGGCCAGAAAAGAAATACAGTTATCGTCCACGGGGCAGCGGGCGCATTTATCTCCTTTAACTGGCCTCGGGCTTTTTTTAACTACTTCAGTGCCGGGGCGGCTCATCACAGATGGCAGAGAGGTGGCGGCGGACTCCTGGGAGAGCTGGGCTTTGTAGAGAGAACTAATGATCCGTCTGTCGGTGGTGGGAGGCTGCAGGGACCAGTCGATGTGAAAAGAGCTGAGGCTGCGTCAGGAAGTTCACCCTGTGTGGAGGACATCAGGCCTGACGCTGGATACACACTCTACATGTTGTAAATGGCTGGCTTGCATTTAGGTTTGTTTGTTTTTAACTCTGTGGGATGGATGGATCCACACAATGATACTGATACATGGTATAAACCACCGATAGTGGATTTTTGAGGCTCGTGCTGATTTAAAAAATATGTGACCTATTCATTTTCTGTTTTTACATAAATAAACAATCTTAAAAAACGTCTTCTTTTCAAGTAAAGTGACTCAAAAACACACTGAGCGTGACATTTTACAGTGTAAACACCTCGGGTATGTAAAACAAGTCATTTTACAATTAAAGCAAAATTAAATTATTTATCATACATTAAAAGCTATTTTGTATAAATGAGTGAGATGAAACCAGGACTAGACTTTGAGCCTGATCTCCTCTGGTAGACTGATCCAGACTGTAGGGGCCCTGTCCCCTTTGGTTTTTAGCCTAAACCTACCAGAGGATCTCAGTCTGCACTTCTTTAAGTTTGTATTTGATAGAATATCTTCTTATCTAAATTAAAAGGACGGAAACAAATGTAGATGTGACACAAAAGACAATCTATTATTTTGGACGGTAAAAAATGGTGGATTTTTTCTTGGCAGGTGAGCCAAAAAAGTTCATTTCCACCCCTCCCGCAAATCAATCAGTGTGCTTGCTAAGTCCCGTTTTCCTCCCTGAGACCACCACAGCTGCTCGTAGATTATTATTGCAAACATGCAAAGAATAAAACTGTTGTACATAATGTGCTCCATACTGCATGTGTAAATATCTATTGTAAGTTATTATGATGCACAGATGGAGGTCAAATATGTACAGAAATGACCAACAGATGAGGCTCGTTAACAATCTTCTAATAAAACTCACAGATGGAGGTGATGGACATGACGTGCAAACATAGATTGTTGAACAGTTACTGACGGACGTAGCCTGCATGCAGATGTACTGATACATGTATATAATGTGTAAGAATCCGTGTGAACGTGCACGACAGAGCTACAGAGATGTGCTGAAGGATAAACAGGTTTGGAGGTCAGCGCTGTGCAGCAGAGCAGATGTCTACAGCAGCTCGCAGCGGGGGAACACACAGAAACACATTACAGAGACAGTGTGTTGTGACCAGACAGCAACACCCTCCTGATGTCTGACGCTGTTGTGCCAGGAAGCTTTGTGCAGCCAGATGGCAATGACATAACCTCCCTTTCTTTACTACAGTCTGCGGGGCCTCCATGTCTGACCCGCACAACAGCAACGAGCAGCGGCCACTTCAAGGTGACAGAGGACGAGTCCGGCTTTACTACTCCCTACTTTAAAGGAGAGCAGGATGAGGTTACGTCTGAAGGCTGTAGAGAAGCTCAGATCATTTTAAAAAGTAGAAATTGTGATTTAGTTTTAAGGGGAAAAAGTTAGTTTGCTAACAATATCCCCTTTCACAGCCTGTGATTAGCAGAGCTAAATAACATCCAGCTGAAATCAATGAATGTGAACTGCTGATGAAGAGCTATTGATCTGACTGCTGGATTATTCCACTTTTGCGGTTTATGTTCATCATTTCTTCTTTGGATGGTGACAGTCAGTGATTAATGGTAAGGTTATTTTGGATCCACACACTTGGGACACTGCCTCCTCTTGTGTATTGAGTTGTTCTTGAGATGCCACTCTAACTACAGTAACACTTAATTAACAGCACAGGCTTTTATTTGCCTCAATATTGAACTCACCCTGCCTATATTTGGGTCAGGCCTTTAATTCCTTTCCCACAAAACTCTTCATAGGAAATAGGCTACTTTAAATTTGTTTATTTCAAGCAGAATTAATATTATATCCTTACAATTAGCAGAGAGAGATGTGACCTCAGAAAGGATGAAAGCTGAAGGTTACCGTAGTTATTTCAACTTTAATTAATTTTTAGGAAAAAAAGATTGGACCCTGATGGACTAGAGGAACATAAATAATCAAAGCATGGACACATATTCAGACTTAATGGCTTCTTAAAAGGTCGGGAGTCACTTTCTTTCTCGTTTCTCATGTTTATTTTGTCACGCTGGTAAATCTGAATGAATAATACTTTGTGCTTGTTGTTTCCATAAAATGATCTGAATGATTGAATTTTAGAGAATCTAATTGATCTAATGAGGTGCAGCCAGTGCTTAATTTGTGGTACCAGAGTTTAAGCCTTTTGCGCTCTGGCACCTCTAAAGTGTGCTCTGTTACTGCACTGCACGAATAAAATCCAATATTTCATCCAGCCTGAAAGACTGTAAGTCAAATGGATTTCCTTATTTCCTATTTGATTTGGTGGCTAATGAGGGTTTCTGTTGGCCCTTTGAAACAATGTGCAGGTATTCCATGCATTTTAAATAATTATTTAATTTTAGGCGGGCGGCACATTTCACGCGCTCCGGCACCTAATAATTTACAAGTCAAACACGAGGTGTAGCATGTTCATACTGCCAAAGGTTTAAACATTTATACGTACGTGTAGGAACTAGCTCAAGCAGTTGACCCAGTGGGCTTTAAGAGGTTTAAAACTTCCAAAGAACCCGACCAGGCTTCCAATTGAGACCTGCGTTTATTTGTGAAAATGTGTAGCCACACCAGTCTGATTTAAGTTTGGCGGTAAATGTTATGTTTTACGTCTGTGATCATCTGATGCATAACACAGTCTCTTTTTGTGACAGATGTTTTTCCTTCAGATGTGTTGTTGCTTTGGGGAAATGACACAGTATGTATTTTGAAGCCATTAGACATTAAAATCTTGCATTAGGCCTTGTATTAGTCATTAGTAAACACAAATTTAACTGCATAAGGTAACAACTAACTGACTAAAGGTTTGTGAGCAACTCAGCACAGATGTGCAGTCCAAACTCCAAACAATGAACTTGATGAACCGAAGCCTTTGTGTCTCAGCAGAAGCGATGGGGCTGCTCTCTCCTTCCTGTCAGTAAACGGACGGTTAAGGTAAAGAAACGGAAATAAAAGGCTCTGCTGGTCTTTTCCTGCAGTCGATCAATGAGCCGCTTCAGAGTTGATCCAAGAAACAGATACCACGTCTGCAGAACGAGACGGAGACAGAAACTTATCTGCAGCGTCAGACCTTCCTCTGCTTCACGCCGCCAGCACACACACACTTGACGTCTTGAAACACACACACGTCACTTTGATTAGGTTAATCAGACTCTCGGTCATATTTAAGTTCTTCTCCTCTAGCAACATGCATGAATGTGTGCGTTTGTTTGTGTGTGAAAATATATGCGGGTTCCATTTTTGTGGATTCAGTAATCAATAGAAGCAGACGGGGTGAAGATGGTATCTCCCTGCCAGGTAATTGGCTGAGGCAGATGGTATCTCCCTGCAGTGATTTTGTTCAAAGTCTTGTCAGGATGATGGGAAACAGGAAATGTACCCGCTTCTGAAACAACAAAGAAAGCTGCTTACCGTGAACGCAGCGCTGCATGCAGACCTGTCATTATGCTCCAGTGGTGTGCAGGGACCTTTTTACCAAAGGCTAAAGGCTTTTCAGGGTCATGTATCTGTATTGATTAAGTCTCAGAGACCTCGTTGGACGCATGGAGATGTGTGATCTCTAGTGGGATTTGACCTCTGTGCAAAAACCATCAAAAAAAAAGGTTA